AGGCGTCAGAGACGTGGGGGGATGGGGCAGCCTGAGGTGGGTGGCTCCGGGGAGAGAGCTGGAGGACAGCTGGCATGTTCCCTGTGTGAGATCCTTCTCCCGTGCAGCCTGCAGACAGGCGCCACCTTTCCTCTGTTGAGTCCACCCCCACAATGGCCAAATCTGAATCTGATTTGTCTGGTGAGCTCTGCTGATCCACCCTGCTAACTCACTGGGACCCCACCCCACCCAACTCCCCCAACACCAGAGGCACTTTTTCTGTGAGCACCCAGGCCTACCCACTTTGCACTCTTTCTTGGAAAACTATTGGAGTCCACAAGTCTCAGGCAGGCAGCCACTGGCCTCTGTGTGCTCTGACACTCTTGCTGAGTAGCTCCAGGCTAGTATTTGCACCAAACCAGAATCTACATTAACCTGGCGACCACAGCTCTTCCCACTCTAGTGATTCCTTGAAGCCCTGCCTCACCCAACTTGTGAGCTGCACAAGGCTTTATTAGTGGCTGAACCTTAAGAGAGCCAGCAGGGGGCAGCAGGTCTCAGTGTGTCCTGGCTTTTTGTGGAGCTACCTCGGGCCTGATGCTGATGGTAGCCATCCTCAGTTTGCAGCATGGCCTCTCCCAAATGCCTCCAGGTTTCACACAGGTAGTGAACAACTGTGGATCTCTTTGTAGCTCCTACCCGGTAGTCCCCAAACACTCACAGGCAGTGAATGACCTGGGCCTGCACCAGAGCACCTCCCAAGAGGCCCCAGAACCAACATTCTAGAGGTTGGCTTAAGACCACAGCAGAGCACTGCCAATTAGCCTCACAATCAGCACACCCAAAGAGTGATCTCAACAGGTATCAGAGCCCGCTGGGGCAAATCACATTCAATGGGGAAAGCCCCCTGCACAGTAGCCTATAAGCTGTGGGCACGGCCAAATACCACAGCCAATCAGCCTGAGGCTCAATTACACCCAATCACTTGCCAATAACAGTCAAGGCTCAACTATAACAAGAGGGCACAAACAACCCACTTGAGGGGCACTCTTAGAGCACCCAGAGCAGGTGACCGAGGAGACTGTGCCACTGGGCCCCACAGGCCACCTGGCCAAGACTGGAAGATTTAACAGATCTACCTAATACATAGAAATAAACGTAGAGAGACAGCCAATATGATGAAACAAATAAATATATCCCGAACAATAGAACAGGAGGAAACTCCAGAAAAAGGCCTAAACAAAATGGAGGCAAGCAACCTACCAGATACATTGTTCAAAACAATGGTTATAAGGATGCTCAAGGAACTTAGTGAATTTCAATAAAGAGATAGCAAGGATAAAAAAGGATATAGGAGCCATAAAAAAGAACCAGTCAAAGTGAAGAATACAATAACTGAAATGAAGAATGCACTGGAAGGAATCACCGCAGACTAGATGAAGCAGAGGATCAAATCATTGATTTGGAAAACAAGGTAGCAGGAAACATCCAATCAGAGCAGCAAAAATAAAAAAGAATCCAAAAAAAATAGGGTAATTTAAGAGACCGCTGGCACAACATCAGACATAATAATATTCACATCACAGGGGTACCAGAAGGAGAAGAAAGCAAGGGATTGAGAGCCTATTTGAAGAAATAATGACTAAAAGCTTTCCTAACCTGGTGAAGGAAATAGACATACAAGTCCAGAAAGTACTGAGAGTCCCAAACAAGATGAACCTAAACAGGTTCACACCAAGACACATCATAATTAAAGTGACAAAGGTTAAAGCCAAAGATAGAATCTTAAAAGCAGCAAGAGAAAGGCAACTAGTAACTTACAAGGGAGCCCCCATAAGATTGTCATCTGATTTCTCATCAGAAACTTTACAGGCCAGAAGGGATTGGCACAAAATATTCAACGCGATGAAAAGTAAGGAACAACCAATGCTACTTTACCAAGCAAAGCTAATCATTTATATCAAAGGGCAGATAGGGCCGGCCAAGTGGCTCATTGGTTAAGAGCTGGCTTGGGATGCCAGAGTGCCCCAGTTCAGATCCCACATATGAGGGCCAGTGACACTGCCCTCCACAGCTAAGATGCTGAACAACAGCTCAACCTGGAGCTGGGCTGCCATGAGTCGCCAGCAACGGTGTAGGCTGCAGCCCTTGCTGCAGTAGGTTACCATGGGCTACCGTGTGTAGCCAGCAGCCGCAGTGAGTGGCCGTCCAGAAGCCGGCTACTGATCTGCCTCGCCCGGGAAGAGAGCAATGATGGTGCCAACTTGGGCCAGTGGAGCAATGTCCTCCACAATTAGACTGAAGAACAAAACGACAGCAACTTGTCTGTTCCCCTTCCCTAATTCCCCAGCGTTGTTCCCCTCCCCCAATTCCCCAATTTTAAAAAAATCTAAAAAAAAAAAAAATCAAAAGGCAGATAAAATCTTCCCAGACAAGAAAAAACTAAAGGAGTTCATCACCACCAAACCAGTATTACATGGAATGTTAGAGGGACTTCTTTAACATGGGAAAGAAGGAAATGGCAAAAGCTGCATATCTATAGGAATTACTTTCAATGTAAATGGATTCAATGCTCCAATCAAAAGACATAGTAGGGCTGAATGGATAAGAAAACAAGACTCTTACATATCCTGCCTACAAAGACTCAATTCAGATTATAAAACACACATAGACTAAAAGTAAAGGGATGAAAAAAGACATTTCATGAAAATGGAAACAACAAACAAAAAAAGTTGTGGTAGCAATACTTATACCAGACAAAATAGACTTTAAAATAAAGACTATGACAACAGACAAAGAAGAACCCAGCAATTCCACTTCTGCGTATTCATCTGAAGAAACCCAAAATGCTTTTTTGAGGGGACATGTGCATCCATATGTTCACTGCAGCGTTGTCTACAGTGGCCAAGATGTGGAGGCAGCCTGGGTGTCCATTGACAGATAAGTGGATAAAGAGGAGGTGGTACATATATACAATGGAATATTGCTTGGCCATAGGAGGGAATGGGTTCTTGCCATCTGCACTGGCATGGATTGACCTGGAGGGTATGGTGTTGAGTGAAGTATGTCAGATAGAGCAAGACAGATGCAATGTGATTTTGCTTATATGTGGAATCTAAAGAGCAATAAACCAACAAACAAAACATAAAACAAATTCATAGATACAGAGAACATTTTGATGGCTTCCAGATGGGAGGGGGTTTTGAGGGTGGGTAAAAAAGGGGGAGGGGTTAACAAGTACAAATTGGTAGTTATAAAGTAGTTATGGAGATATAGGATATAGCATAAGGAATATAGTCTATAACATTATAATAGCTATGTATGGTGTCAGATGGGTACTAGATTTATTGGGCTGATAGATGGGAGGGGGTTGGGGGACAGAGTGAAAAAGGCGAAGGGATTAAGAAGTACAAGTTTGTAGTTACAAAATAGTCATGGGGAGGTAAAGTAAAACATAGGGAATATAGTCAATAATATGGTAATAACTATGTATAGTGCCAGGTGGATAGTAGACAAGTCAGGGGGATTATTTCTTAAATTATATAAAGGTCTAACCACTATGCTGTACACCTGAAGTTAATATAAAATAATAATAATAATAATAAATAAAAAATAATAATAATAAAAGATGACACTGTGAAAATTAAAATATTGTTGGGGTCATAGGTTTTAAATATTTGTAAGTATTCTCCACCAAACTTCCCATCTTTTTTTATCCTACGACACTGAATTTTTGGATCATCTTGAAGCCTATAGACCAAAGCTTCTCCATAATGATGCCAGGAAATACAAGAAGCAAATATTTCCAGATGAGCCCACAGGCAATCCCAATACCCATGTTTACAAAACTCATCTACATTTTTTTTAAGAGTGGCTTTTCTTTATGGAAGAACACAATGACACAATTTTAATAAGTACCCAAATCACCACCATTCTAGTTCATATAATGTATCTGTGCAGAGTCCTGAAGAGGCACCACACACACTACCCACAAAGCTGTTTGGTCCAAAAACCATATGCTCAATAACACCATGAAAATCGGTATTGCATGTAGGACATATCCTTGGCAAAGCTGTGCATCACCACCTGGGCCCTGCTTTTTCCAGGAAGCTCCAGCTGGGTGACAGTGCGGCATCTTTCCAAGAACAATTGATCCCGTTAAGCCATCAGAAAATCGAGAGTCTGGGCCCCTTATGGTTCAGTCAGTCCATGCAGTCACCATGCAGACACATGTTGTAAGCAGACGTTGCGAATGGGTCCAGCCCAACATTTCCCCACACCACGTTTTTTGGTATCCTTTAAGAGACCCTATTTCTGCGGCCCAGTTTGCAGATTGCTGGCCACTTTGACTTTACCTTTGTTTTTGATGACACAATATTCAGATTCCACAACTATGAAAAGTCCACTCTGTGCCTCTTTTGACCTTAGGTGATGCAAACTTATTTCCTTCCTAACCTGAAAAGAGGCTTAATGGAATTTTGAATTTTTCCTATTACAAAAATTCTTAGGTTTTTTCAGAAGAGATTTGAAATACCACATAAAATCATGTACTCACATCCCTCACCACCACTTCCAAATAACTGAATTACATAAATAAAACATTACACAGAAAGTGCTTTGCTACAATTTATGGGTGGTAAATTTAACAAGAGCTGGCTCATTGTAGGGAAATTCAACTTATCTTTTCTGGATCCTTTTATTCTTTACAGGGAAAGAAATTTATGTCAGTTTAAAAAAAAATCTATTACTGCTTCTCATAAATGAATCCATTGTTTTTCACCATGATCCAGCAGGTAAAAAGCAAGAATAATAGATTGCTTTGACAGAACCTTCAAAATAAACATCTCCAAGACTCAAGTATAGAAAGTTAAATGTGCTTCAGGTGGTATTAAAACAAAAACTGATCTTACTAAAATCATACAAAAATCAGATCTTACTAAAAAAATATTATTAGCTGCTACAAAAGGACAAATTATATAGAAGTTGAGTTTTCACAATTAGACACAATTGAATGTCCTATACATAGTCAACTGCTTACAAAGGTTAGCGTTTACCTTATTTTACAAATATTTTCTGTTCATAAAGGAATCAAGGGGCTCTACAAGCATTAGTGCCACATGACCCATTTTAGTTTCAGAAAAGTTTGAGCGAATATGTATACACCTACTTACTATAAATATGTATAGTACAGCTACCACATCTCAGGGGATTGTCCTCCTTAGCAGACACCTATCCGGCATCTAATCTTCTTTCATTTTATTAGATAATCCAACCTCCCACTGTCTCCAAGAAAGGTGACTACATTGCCAGCTTCAGTGGCAGAACTCATCCTAAGTCAATCAGCACATAATATTCACATTAACTCTCTTATTGGTACAGGGCTGGGTATGTGACCCCAATTTGTAGAAACAGAAAAAAAGAATGATTTTTATGCAAGATGAAAAATGTGGAGATAGCGTCTTCCCATTTTCTCTTATCAAATGAAGGGGAGGGGACGGGAGTCCCAGTTGCTAATGGCAGTTTTCTGTGATCATGAGAATGAGGACAATGCTGGTGGCAGAGGGAAGGGTTGGAAAGGATGTAAGTTTTATTGGACATCATTGAACTACTAATGGCATTGGTGCCTGGAGCCTTCCTACCCCCTGTCTTCCAGTCAGAAAATCTACAAATTGACTTAGAGTTTAGTCCACTTGAATTGGGGTTTCTGTAACTGTTTAAATATGTTCTTCTTTCCTTTTGAAAAGAATTGACAGAATATACTCAAAATGTTCTGTTTTCTCGTGGGCTGTTTAATTCATATTGTTTTACATCAGAAGATCATTGCATATGTATTTGATTTTGAAACTACCTTTGAGAACTTTCCCTAATCATCTAATGAGGCACAAAATTTGATACATCCATTGCTTAAAAAGATGGTAATATTCTTACAAACGTTAATGCAAATTTAAGATGAGTAAAAACCCTCTGGTTCTACTAGACAAAAAATACAGTTTCACAATCAAGGTCAGACATTCTTCCCAGCCTCAAGATCTGAAACTGAGCTTGACCTGTTTTGTAGTCAATTCTAAACTATGGCCTGTAATGCCAAAAGTACATTTTTTTTAATTATTCAGAATTATCTATAAGCCATAGCAATCCTACTGCTCTCTTCTCATTTTACTAAACCATTTTGATCCTTACTTCTCAGATCTTGCTGGGTATTAGATGTTTCTTGCATATGTCCACAGATAATAACTCATCAGCTTTGCAATCTGATTCTTAACATTAAGAGATTAAAACTAATGTAGATGATTCTCAGATGACACATACTGAGGTAGAGAAAAACTCCATCATTTCCTTCCACAAAATGAGAGAAATTTTAATTCTTTTTCTCAACAGCTGCTTCATATTTTTATGCATAGGAAAAAAATATGTTCAATTACTCTAAGTACAATCAAGTAATTTAACATGGCTCTACTATCATTGTAGTTGCAGGATATTTTAAAAGAGAAAAAAAAGAATCTCAAAGCACAGGTCCTGCTGTGCAGCAAAGCAATCAAATTCCTTCATAATAACAGCCTGATGGGATTCAGCGATCTAAGGAATAATGAATAACCACTTTAATCAGTAAACAGGAAAGTGCTACAACAGTAACTGAGTAAAAATTGACTATCATTTGTTGATCCTCTTGATGAGCATTTCAAACAATAAATAGAAATGTAAGTATCTCTTAAAAAGAAAAATAACTTTGGTTAGTGCGGTTGATTTTGCCAGGCAGTGAGAAAATGATAGACCACCTTAGATTGCCCTGCAGTGTTGCCCTGTCAATAAAACACACACATAATTTTTCTAAAAATACCTGGCCAATTTGACCCTATCACTTGAATGTGTCAAGATGAACTCATTTTGCAGTTGGTTAATAAGGTTGTGTTTCTGGACTGATTACTGAACTTCATTCTACTTCATTAATTAATTCTCTTCTTCACTGTTTATCTTACGAAGTTATTTGCATCTGAATATGAATTTTCTAGCTCAAAATAGTCCTCAAGCATCCAGTGCAGTGTCTCAAATGTTGGCCGTTCCTCAGGAACTGCATTCCAGCATTGCATCATGATGTTATAGAAATGCAGTGGACAATTAGGTGGTTGAGGGAGTCTATAGTTTTGACCCAACATCTGGATTACCTGAGCACCTGTCATACCTAAAAACATAGAATGAAATCAACAAAAAACAAGTTTAAAAAACAGTATTAAATTCAGAGACACTTATATTATAAAAAATGTATTTCCTTGGTGAAGTTATGAGGTCTTCTAGCCCCTTCCCAGGCTGCAGAGATTAGGCTAAATCCTGCAGCAAGTAATGTCTATACAACTGAAATTCAAGAGCAAAGGAGGAAGCAATAAACCACCTCATTAATGCAAATCATCATCATCAAATTTTATCTCTTATGCTCCCAAAGGCACATGGTGTGGTCAGCCTCATAACTCTGCCCTCTAAGCCTGGGCAAAGCAGTTAAAGTCACACCTAAGTAAGTGACCTGCAGCAGAAAAGCCCACTTCAGAATTAATTACTCACCACTATAAGGCATTTTGCCATAAGTAATGATTTCATAAAGAAGGATTCCAAATGACCACACATCGGACTTAATGCTGAATTTATTAGTACGAATAGCTTCAGGCGCAGTCCACTTCACTGGCAGCTTTATTTCGTGCTTAGATTCATAGATGTCTTCATTATCTACCTGTTAACGCATTAAGAAATCAAGCCAACTTAAAGTTTTATATATATATATATATATATATATATATAGTTGGTTGTCTTTTTGTGACTCTCATTCATGTTATGTGCTTCATATTAAAATTTAGAGGAAAAAGATTCAAGATGAGCTCAGTTCAATTGATAATTATAGTAGCAAATTCCAAATATGACATACAAGACTGAAAAACCTGTGAGAAGTAATTAATAAAATATTATTTGAGAGCCTACTACGTGCTAAAACTGGCACTGTAAGTTACATTCTACTGCATATGAAAAAAATTCATGTGTGATGATACTGGCATTACAAGTGGTCTTTAGTAGATTTTAAAAAAATAAAAATGAAATCAAAGCCTGTTTTCTGATTTACTGCTGGTATTGAAGAGCCACTGACTTTGATAATTACCATGTAACCACTTTCTAATACTGAGAAGTAGGATCCAAATGACATTAATATATCAATCACTGGCATTTTAATTAATCTACAAAAAGGAAAGATGATGAATTCACGAAGTTCAAAAGAGAACCATTTCTTTGTTGTGTTTCATGCCCCACACCCATAATTTTAGGGTACAATATAGAAATTAAATTCAGAGAAAAACAATGAATATTATATCTCCTATCTCAGCATCTGTTGATGTAATATCATGAAATGGGAGGTGGGACAGGAGGGGGCAAGAATTAAAAAGTCCATGATTGCTGAAAAATTCTGGCAACATGCATATTAGTCTGGCATAAAGTGAGCAAACGTGGGTAGGGTAACTGTACAAAGTGTGCTGCTTTTTGTAAAGGAACTACAAGCAGACAAACAGAGGCTACTGGAACTGAAAAGTGGATCATTAATTCAACCACAAACTTAATTTCATACTTTTCCATTTGGTTGGTCATCATTTTCTCAGTTTCTTTCTCTTTGGTGAAGATATAGAAATAGGAAGTCGTTTGTCTGTAAGGCCTTGGGCTACTGAAGTATTTATTCTATGGGCCACAGAACTTAGAGAAACATTGTTTTAAAGAATAATAGTAAGTATACTGGTCTGTTAGGATTTTTACCCATTACAAAAACTAATTAAAACAAAAGCAAGCCCACCTTAAAAACTCTTGCAAGTCCAAAGTCTGCCACTTTGTAGATATTGTGTTCACCAACAAGGACATTTCTGGCAGCCAGATCTCTATGTATATAGTTCTGGAGCTCCAGATAGGCCATTCCAGAGGCAACTTGTGCTGCCATGTCTACCTGCTGAGCCACAAAGATTTTTGATCCAGCGTCATCTAGGCAACAAGAAAAAAATAAGAGATTTACTTTGGGGAATATTTAAACTATTGAAGTGAATTCTGAGAATCTTGATAAATGAGCTATCAGTGAGATTAAGTGCCACAGCACTGATCTGTTGAGCAAAAAATTACAACCATAGAAACGATTTTACTTCCTGTGAAGGGTTAATGAGGCAACGATTTTCGGAGTCCAAACACATTCCAAGGCAGTGACCTGCCCTTCCCTGAATGAGCATTACACAGAAAAAGAAGCAACAGTATCAGATCATCCAAACACAGCCATCTGAAAGAGTTGGACGTCACCATTGTCCATAACACACATCACCAGTCTCACCTCTTCATAAAAATTGTTACTTGCTCACTTCTGGATTTCTTTCAAACAGTAAATAGCTTCTTTTAGTCTTTGGTCTTATAAAACAATGCTAATTTGGATGGTTGAGCCAATGAAAGTTCTCATTATTTCATTGTACTATTCTTAAAAACTAGCTCACTAACAAAAATGAAGAGTCTATCAGTAGTTATAAAATGTATATATTATATTTGTACTCCATTAAGCTTGATACATTTTTTTATTTCCCTTTCTTAGCCTATTAATCTTAGGATAGGTTCTTCATCTCTGCAGGCATGGCCATACATTTAATAGACATAACTTCTCCTCCTGCTCAACCTGTATAACTAAGTAGAGGAAATTCATATAGTAGGGTCAGTTTGATCATTAGTAGAGAGGTTAGTTATTTTGTGATGACTTTGTGAAATAGTGTCAGCGATTCTTGGATAGAACTTAGCTACCACATTCTTAGTAGTTGTCTTCAGATTTCTGGAGAATTAAAAAGGTCTCATATAAATGCAAACTATCATTATTCCTGGCTGACTAAGCCAAATACTATGAAAAGTGTTTTGGACTCATGGTCAAGAGATTTAGGCACAACTTCTAGAGGCAACTATATAGCACAGGGGTTAGGAAGGCTGGTTTGAAACTAGAGTGCCAGAATTTGGATCAGGGCTCTCTCTGCCTCTAATTTCTTTCCTGACTTTGGGCAAGCTTCTTAATGCTCCTGTGCCACAGTTTCCTCAGGTATATAGCAATAATTGTAATTATGGCAGTAGTTGTTAAAATGAGAATTAAAATGAGTTAACACATGTAACTCACTTAGGATAGTGCCTGGCACCTAGAAAGAACTCAGTAAACCCTACCTGTTATTGTTATCATTGCTGCTGCCTAATCAGAATTAAACAGTTCAGGATTTATTAAGCTAGAGACGCATGTGGATTACCCAAATGGAAATGCCTAAGAAAAAAAGCATGTGGGTCTGGAGCTCAGGAGAAAGCATGCAGCTAGAGCTATTGATTTAACAGTCATAGTTTATGAGCGGGAGTTAAACATTAAAAGTGGGTGGGATTGCTAGAAAGTGACAGAATCATGAGAAACCCCTACATTTAAGGTGGGCAGAGGAAGATAAACCTGTAAGAAAACTGAGAAGGATGAGAGGAGAGTCAGAAAAGAACAACATAATAGTTAAAGATTTTGAGAAAGAGAAAGTCACCACCATTATCAAACTTCACAAAAAAGTCCACCAAAATAAGGGCTACAAAGGCACTTGTTAAATATAATAAGTAAGTCCTCATTGGTGACCTTGGTGGCAGGAAGAGCAGTTGCACTGGAGATGGAATATAAGGGGTTGGAGGCTGGACCGGAGCTGAAAGCATGGAGACAGTAAGAGGAGATGTCAATTCCCAAAACCCTAATGAAGAAGGGAAGACAAAAAAAAGAGGGGTGGGTGTGGTAGTGGAAAATGTAAGCCAAGGGAAGCAATTATATAATTTATGATAGCGAGGGGTTGTCACTGACAATGTACTCAAGGGGTTTTTGGAGTGCTGGTCATGTTATCAATTCTTGATTTGTACAGTGGCTGCACAGTTGTTTACTTGCTCATTTTATAGTTAATATTAAATTATACTATGTGATATATGTACTTTCTATAAATATGCTATCTTTTTAAATTAAAAAACAATGAAATAAATAGTCAAGGACACTTTTTAAATGGTAAGGACCTAAGCACAGTGCATGTGTATGTGTATATACAAATATATTTATGATTTTAATGCAATCAGCATATATGTGAGGTGAAACTAAGTGCTCACTGATCCGTTTGTCCTTTTATTCCTGGGCACACAAAGAAGACTATATTCCCAATTTTCCCTTGCAGTTAAATTGGACCATGTCACTAATTCCGTAGACTTCAGTTTGTGCAGAGATATTCATCGCTTACAGGAATGATTCTTAAAATCTCCCACATCTTTGTAGCTAGGAGAGATGATTTTCAAAATGACAGAGAGATGATTTTCAAAATGATGAAAGGAGCCTAAATCCTTATGTCCCCATTTAAAGAAAGACACCCAGAAGAGGTGGCTGGTGTTGATAAAAAATGCATATTTTTATTATGTCACTGAGATTTTTGAGTTGTATGTTATAACAGATAACATTAATTATTTAGTCTAAAATGAGCTGTAAGCAAAAGGACAAGATGTAACTTAGTATGCAGCATAATGGCAAATCATTGCTGCTCTGATGGCCAAAATAGCTATGATTTTTTCTATCAAATTCACTCAATAAAAAAAAAAAGTTAAAAAGTTTAAGATAAGCTAGTGACTAGTCCTAGACTATGTGGTAGGCAGCCTCAAAAATGGCGCCCAATATTCTCTGCCTCCTGGTATTCAAACCATTGTGAAATCCCCTTCTATTATGCATGGTCTGAACCAAGTAACTCATTTTTACCAAATAGAATATGACAAAAGTGATGGGTATCACTTCCAAGAGAAGCTTATAAAAGACTGTGACTTCACCTTGCTGGAACTTTGATCTCCCTTGTTCTCTCAATTGCTCCCTCTGTTGAAGCCAACTGCCATGTTGTAAGTTGCCCTATGGAGAGGTCCATGTAACAAGGAACTTAAGGCTGCTTCTAGCCAACACCAGCAAGGAAATGACTTCTTCAGTCCAACAGCCCTAGAGGGACCAACTTCGTGCCAACAATCACATGCATAAGCTTGAAAGTAATTCAACCTCCCCTAGAGCCTTCAGGTTACTGGAGCACCTGCCAACACCTTCACTGCAGCCTTGTGAGAAACCCGGAGCTGGAAGGCCCAGCTCAACCGCACCTGTGGATTCCTGACCACAGAAACTGTGAGAAAATAAATGTTTGCTGCTTTAAGCCACTAAGTTTGGGGGTAATTTGTTGTGCAGCAATAGATAACAAATGCAAGTTGGTGTTAGGAATATAACATCAGTGCTATGCATTTCATTAAAAGCTTGGACTGTGGAACCAGATTTCCTGGGTCTCAATTTTAGCTAAAGCACCTTGGATGCATTACTTAGCCTCTCCATCCCTCAGTTTCTTCAACTATAAGATGGGGTGATAATAATAATAATTCATCAGGTTTTTAGAATAACAAACTACATTAATATTTGTAGAGGACTTAGAAAAATATCTGGCACATAGTAAGTGCTATGTAGTACTTTTTACAGAAAAAAAAAATTTGTATGTTCCTCTTCCACCACTATCCCATGTGGTTGAATTCTAGTAAATCACCTCACTTAATACTCATACAATTATATAAAGTAACTATTGTTATTATTGGGTTGTCAGAAAAGTCATGACACATGTTTTCAACAGATGGCACTAGTTCATTTTTGGAAGTACTAGAGTCATTCGCATCTATGTTATTACTATGTCATTTCACAGCTGAAAGTCCTAGCTTCATTCTAAAAAAAACTGAGTGATTTTGTTGAGTTTTGGAGATTTTACAAGTTGAAGATGGAAGACCAAACTGTGCATTTTTGCCATATTTTACTGTTTTACTTCCGTAAAGGGAAGAACACACACCAAGCTTTGAAAAGTTTCATAAAGTTTACAGTGACAATGCTCTACAAGAACTTCAGTGCCAATGATGGTTCATGAAATTCTGTGCTGGTGATTTTGATCTCAACGATGCTCCTTGGTCAGGGAGGTCCACCGAGGTTGATAATGACAAANATTGAAATCTTACATTGGGGATATATTAAGATTTAGCTAATCCAGGGAACATACTCTTACCCTTACATTCCAAACCCTTGGCTACAGGTTATGGTTATCTGGGCCAGAGAGAGTGATGACATTTGCTTGGTGCCTGCATTGGCTGTCCCTGTGACCTCTTGTGCATGTACTGTTGGAAGTTGAACTGATAAAAATCAACATATGCCATTTCACTTTTGACATTCTCATTTTCATACCTGGTTTTAGTGTCTTTACTGCTACAGGAGTGGTATTGTTCCAGAGGCCTTCCCACACTTCGCCAAACTGACCGGATCCTAATCGCTTCAGAAGCTGTATCGAGTTGCGGTCTATCTCCCACTGGTCCACAGTTTTGTACGACAAATCAAAAGGAGCTGGCACTTGTACCTGTCTCACAGATTAATTAAAATACTTGTAAGAAAAAAGATTTCACATTGTTTTATTAAAAATAATAGTCTACATACTTTTACAAAGATATTGTTTTTAAAAAACAAAACATTGTAAATTTTACTGTAATTACTTTCAAATAGAAAGCAGTTGGTGGCAAAATCTGCATCATTACCTCTTCAAGTTGATCTCTCCCCCAATCCTGCTAACTCTGGTACCGTGTTGTTCATCTTTCCACCCCATACCTAATGCCTTCCTTGCATAGGCAGGTTTGGCATGATTTCTTTCTGCCTCTTTGCCTAGCTAAATCCTCCCAATTTCAAGGCCAAATTGAAGTTTCCACCTCATCCACAATTACTTCCCAAACTCTCTGGCCTACAGTTTTTACCATATGTATCATATATTTTTGCACAATTAATATTTTCTTTTTTTTTGAAATACATTTATTTATTCATTCATTTGCTTGTCCATTTAATAAATAAATATTTTTCAAGCACCAACTAGGTTCCATTCTGTAAGCAAAACAGGCAAGGCCTCTGCTCTCCTAATTTACCATTTACC